GGTTTAAAATCTTAGAGCTTGTTCCATTGGCAGGAATTTAGAGTATGAGACTGTAAGACTAGACTGGCAGGTTGGGAGCAAACGTGGAAGCTTTGACTACCATGCTAAGTAATTTTGTCTCTGCTCTATGAGCAATAGAGAGTTACTGGAAATTTGGGGGAGGGAGTAAGAGTAGTGATATGATCAAAGTGTGCTTTAGAAGTATCCTTCTAGAGTGATACCAGAAATCAGGTGACCAGTTAAGAGGGTAGAGTGAGAGCCTAGACTAGTTAAACCATGAAGAGGGCCAAACCCAGGACAATGGGATGGGAACAGAAAGGAAGGGATAGAGAATAGAGCCTTACAATTTTGAGAGAAAGAGGGAAGAGTTATTCTAAAGTTTTAAGACTAGTTGGTTTAAAAAAAAAAAAAGATGTTAAGAAAATGAGAAGTGATCTTTTTTGGTCAAGCAGAGTCCCAGAAACAGGAGAGTCTTAGAAATACAAACCGCCTGCTTGAGAGAGGGCAGCTCATCTGTTCTTGCACACTCCTGGGCTGAAGTCAAGCTGGAAGGAAGGAGAATGGTGAGGTCTGGGGAGCTTTTCTTTTGGAAACAGAGACTGGAAGCCCCTTTAGGCTATGACCTTTTGAATTCTATAAACTATGTGTTGTTTACTTACAGTGAACTAATGTCTCCTGTGCCATGGGAGTAGCTATAAAACCCTTCCTAGGAAAAATGATTCAGTTTTTTTTTTGGCTTAATTTTGGCTTTGGTGACGACCCTGGAATGAGGAGGGGAACCCTGGCTTCATCCCTGGAGTTTGCAGCAAAGATGAGAGGAGATTCCAGCCTCTGAGTAAGCCCAGGAAAGAAAGAGCCTTGGGGGCTGGGTCATAGAAAGATCTGTGAGACTTCCTGACCTGGGCATAGGTATGTTTAGCAAGGACTGAGAAACCAGGAAGAAGAGCATACTTGATTTGTGAAGAGGTGATGGGGTTCCATTACGGACAACTTGAGTCTGAGGTGCTGGCTCCAGGAGGACAGTGTAGTCATGGGGAGCCAGACCTGGACTGATGGGCTCAGTGGTTGAAACCAAGCTAGGGACAAAGGAAAATAAGCTCTGGGTTGGGAGTGGTGGTCGGAGGAGCATTACGTGAGTGACATGACTTCTCAACCAATCAGAGACAGAGGGTTTGCCCAATGACCCTGCTGACTCAGGCTAAGTTAATTTGTCAAGACAGTGTCCCAGGTTGGGGAGGAACAGCCTGGCATCATGAATACTGGCATAGGTTTCCTTGATAAAGAAGTAATTTGGCTGAACAAGATGTTCCAGTGATTTAGTTGTAGGAACAAATCTGTGCATTTGCAGTGGAGAAAAGTTTCTGCTTCAGTCAGTTGATTGCTCTCAGAGAGATGGTGCTTACATTCTAGGGAAGGAGTTAATCTGTCTTGTTAGAGTTTAAGCCTGCCTGTGCTTATTGCATATTGCTACCTCTGACTTCTTTAAGGGCAGCAAGTACTCATTCATCAAGTGGACTGGAGAGTGACAGGCGAGGGGAGAAGGAAAGTCAGGCTATAAAGTATCACCCATAACGATAACATGTTCCCAGACAGGCCCCTCTGCCCCCCACCCCGACCCCAACCCCAGCCTCTGCTCCTTGTTTGTTTAGACGTAATTCCTTTCACTGATGGGTTGGCTTTTAACTCAGATCACTTTTATTTTCATTTTCCCTTTGTCTTGAATATTCCCTTAAAGGTCTTTTCCGTGGAGGAAGGCCTTTCCTGCGTATAAAAGACTTCTTTTCCTTCTTCCTTTGCTTCATTCTTCCCTCAGTTTACAGAGAATCTGTTTCCTGCAGGAAACTCTGCTAAATGTGTTTGGCTTTACGTGAACATTTCGAAGACATCGTTCTTGACACCAAGAACTTAGCAACCAAATAGAGGAAATAAGGCTTTCACATATTTTACCATAACACAAACGTAGAAGAAACTGGAAAGTAGTACCGTAAGACATGGTTGAACACTGTGGAGGAAGTTCAAAAGATTTGTTTCTGACAGGAGAGATGGGGAAGACTTCCTGGAGGAGGGGACGTTTGCGTTGAGCCTTCGAAAAATGGAGACAATGTGAACATGCAAAAATAGGGCATTTTATCTGTGTTGTGTCAAATGTATACACTTAGCCACATTCATGTTTCTCAGTCTCATTTCAGAGTGGATAAATCACCGATAAGGGATTTGTAAAAGGGAAACTTTAAAATGCTTATTTTAAAATAAGCATTTTAAAGCATAGCACAAGCAGAGAACTGCCTAGTTGTCAGCTGTCAGTTTGGATAACTATCTGATGGCGATGTAGTACAAAGAATGTAAATATCTTTCTGACGGATAGATGGACCCAATTACCCTTACTTCTATTTAATATACCTTCCAATGCTGAAATTTTAGATTTTATCATCCTTATGGATGGTAAAATGGTGGATTTACTCATATCCCTATGTTGCAGTTGGGGAAGTTGGATTTATTACAACCTGGGTTACACAGAGGAATCAAAGTGGTAAGTCTGGATGACAACAGATATCACTCTGTGACAAAGTTGTCCCTAGTCTGTGGTGAAATGAGAAAAATATGGAGGCTGCAATGAATTTGGTATTAAGCACAAGGATTATCTTCTATCCAGAGATTAAATTGCTGGTCTTAAAATGGCAAGTTAAAATGACATGATGGTAATAGTTGGTAGGATGGGGGTATTAAAAATAAAAAAACTTCTTCCTTGTCAAAATAAAAGGCTCTTAACCTTATGAAGAGTCCATAGAAAAACACTAGAGACGAGGGAATTTTACTGGCCTATGAAATCTTAAAACTAAATGCTCAAACTAATAAACTTGCTGCTTTAAGGAGCAGAGGGTTTGTTGTTGAATTCTCATTTTACACATGAGGAATCTGCGGCTCAGAAACAGCCAGTGGCTTGCCCAAAGTCACTTGTCCTTGTGTTTTTATATTTTCAAGTAGCCCTATTTATAGTGTTTCTGATCTGTGTGTAAGCGCTCATGATAAAAAAAAATTAAGTCAATGAGCTCTTATCAGATGGGGTATTTATAATAACCTCAAATTATGTATAGTAAACTTTAAGAAATTTTTGACATTGATTCCTGAGTGTGCTATTTATTTATTTATTTTTTAAGATTTTATTTATTTGACAAAGAGAGGGAACACAAGCAGGGGGAGTGGGAGAGGGAGAAGCAGGCTTCCCGCCGAGCAGGGAGCCCAATGCGGGGCTCGATCCCAGGACACTGGGATCATGACCTGAGCGGAAGGCAGATGCTTAACAACTGAGCCACCCAGGCGCCCCTGTGCTACTATTTATCACTACTCATGAAATAACTGTGCTTTATTGTTCTGTACTCAAGGAAGATCTCAAGAGCTTACAAGATTAGGCAAAGCCTTGACCTGTCAAAATGACCTTCCCGTGCTTTCTCACCTGTACAAAAGCAAAACATTCATACCACTCATTAACTAGTCTGCCCTAGTAATTATTTTGAAATGGGTGATATAACCTGTTTCATGGGCTTCAAAGTTTGTTGGTTCATTTGGTTGGAATTTACTTCTTGCCTCCTCTGTGTTACACACTGTGCCAGTTTACAATGGGGATCAGTAAGACCATCCTTGTCATCTAGGAGGTGAAAGTCTAATGGAGAAATCTCAGCGGTGGGTTATAGATGATGTTGGAGGTGCCAGAGGGCTGGCATTCTATGTGTTTGCACTGAGGAATGACTCAGTGAAGATGGCATTTCAGGGACATCTGTGAGTGATGTATGAAGCAGATGGGATGGAGAGGACCCAAGGGTAAGGGTTGTCATAATCAGCATGTGATAACTGAGCACCTGCCCTGGCTGAGGACAGAAGGGAGGACATGAGACTTTTCAAGGAAATAGTGCCTAGAAATTGATGACTTAGGGGAAAAGGGAGACAAGAAGAGTGAGTCAAAGATGCCCCAAGTTTTGGAATTTTAAGTGACTGAGAACTAGTGATAGCATTAGACAAGACAGAGGAGTTGGGAAGCAAGCCTCCACCTTGCTCCACCTGTTTGGGTCCTACTACTGCTTGCTTCTCCTGGGTGTGAATCTGGCTGTACTTTCAGGATCCTGTACGTCAGTGAATTCTTCTGAAAGCCAATCCATGCTGTTAATGGTAGCTTCTTTTTTTTAATCTTATTAGTAATAGGTAATTGCATCATAGAGAAGCAAAATGATCTTTGTAGACTGTGCATTATTCTTTTGGACTGCCTCGGTCAGGAGTCGACAAGGTATGCATTTGTTTTGGCTGGCAGGAGAGGCATACAGCCCGGGTGGAGGGAGGCAGGTAACTTTGCAGCATCCATGTCTCTTTCTAGAATGAGGGTGGTTCACGTCTCTAGTTCTATTCTTGGACATGAAGAGCTGGAAATTTGGGTGTGTACTGTCTTGTCAAGCCAGAAGGCCCATGAATTGGAACAGGGCTGTAACAATAACTTTGACCATGCTCTGACTTTTGACTGAAGAGATATTGGGCCTGTTCCCAGATTTTAGGCCTGGAATATCCTCACACTGCCAAGTAAAGCCAGAGTGTGATGATACTTCTCTCTCACCGGTAGGCATTTGACTCTGATAATTGGGCTCCGCTCAGCCTTCAAACCACAGGCGATTCTAGGTTTACTATGTAATCCTATAACCCTTTGATGTGTCTTAAATGTTCTAAAATAGTTAAAGAAGGACAAAAAAAAAAACCATAGCTGCTTTTATGACAATGCATTATTCCTAATTTTTTTGAGGCCCTTAAATCTAGTAAACTAGGTTCCACAAAAAAGACATTAGCTTGGTTGAAAGGCACTCGCTTTCACTTTTACCAGAGTCTACCCCACCACATTGAGCTGTGAACAGTGTTTTCCGTAGCTTGTAACTTTTGTCTCCTATAATGCTTTCTGTTTTGGGAAACCCTACCACCCCAGAATTAACTTTACTAATTTGTTTTGTTTATTTGTTTTATAGAACAGTCGTATACTGGATGGGCATCTTCAAACTGCACAGTGATAATGCTTGAAATTTATGGGGCTAGAAGTTTGAAGGTAGCTGCTGAACACTGTGCTTGAAGTCACCTTAGTGAAAGTAAGTAAGAGTAACTAAACAGTCAAAAGTAACCAGCAATTTAGGGACTCACATAACTAGAAAGGAAATCCCCTTCTCCTTGTGTTTTGTTTTTTCAACCCAAGAACCATATAACCCATGACATACTTTGTCTTGACATTTCACATTGTCTTTTCTAAATAATGTAAATAAAATGAGTAGGTTTGTCTCTTCCAAGTGGGGATATTGTGGAGGCATTTCTGAACAATTAATATCCTAGTTATTTGCTGACATTCATGTTAGGAGCTAAACCTTAAGTATATGGGTGAAAAGCTAACACTTTTGACTTGGATAGCTCTTCGCTCTCTGAGAAGGGCATTCTGCACCTACTACTCAGGGATAATAAACATTATGCTAAAATATCAGGTAACATGCTGATGAACTAGAATAGAAGAAGCAAATATCTAGCAGCACAATCATACAGTTGGTTCAGCCATGAGATTTATTGACAGATGGAAACATTCTTGGGGATATTCTTATTTTGGCACTTAAAAAAATTAGTATAACTGAGCAAGTGTCTGTCTAACAGTATCTCAAATTCCTATCTGGAGGAAGCCCTTTGGTTTTTCAGCTGGATTCTAGCCTTGCACTAATCTCTGGGTTTCAATGTCCTTAATTATGAAGAGACCTTTAGATCCTCCCTCTGCTGGTGGCAGGGAGTGGGGGAATGACTGTGAATGGGTATGGGATTTTTTTGGGGGGTGATGAAAATGTTCTAAATTTGATTTTGGTAATGGTTGTACAACTCTGAATATGTTAAAAACATTGAATTGTACACTTCAAGTAAGTGAATTTTATGGTACGTGTTATGGGCTGAATTATGTCCCTGTCAAAATGCATATGCTGAGTCCTTAACGGCCAGTACTTTCAGAATGTGACTGTATTTGGAGATAGAATCTTTAGAGGGGCAATTTAGTTAAAATGACATCCTGAGGACGGGCCCTAATCCGATATGACCAGTGTCCTTATAAGAAGAGATCAGGACACACACACACACACACACACACACACACACACACACACGGAAGAGATTAGGACACAGACACCCACAAAGGGAAGACCAAGTGAAGACACAGGAAAACAGCCATCTTCAAGGCCAGGAGAGAGGCCTCTGAAGAAACAAATTCTGCTAACACCTTGATCTTGGACTTGCACCCTCCAGAATTGTGAAAAAATAAATTTCAGTTGTTAAAGCTACCCAGTCTTAGGGGCACCTGGGTGGCTCAGCTGGGTGCTCACCCAACAGCTAACTCATGATTTAGGCTCGGGTTGTGATCTCAGGGTCCTGGGATCGAGCCCCCCACTCTCCTCGGGCTCTCCACTCAGCAGCAAGTCTGTTTCCCCCCTTCCCTCTCTGATCTCTCTCACTTTTCATGCTCTCTCAAATAAATAAATAAAATCTTAAAAAAGAAAAAAAAAAAGCTATCCAGTCTGTGGTACCTTGCTATGTATGTGTGGTACCTGCAGTGGTTACTTTTATGTATCAGCTTGACTGGACCACAATGCCTTTATATTTGGTCAAACGTTATTTTGAACATTTCTGGGAAGGTGTTTTTTGGATGAGATTAACTTTTAAATCATTGGGCTTTGAGTACCCACCCTGGTGTGGGTGGGCCTCTTCCAATGAAAGCCTGAGGGGAACAAAGACTGACCTCCTTTGAGGGAGAAGGAATTCTGCCAGTAGACTGCCTTTTGGTTGTAACTCTTCCCTGGGTCTCCAGCCCACTTGTCAACTCTGCAGATTTTGGACTTGCACCTCCACAGTCATGTGAGCCAATTCCTTAAAATCAATCAATCAATCAATCAATCTCTCTCCCTTTCTGTGTGTGTGTGCGCGCACACACACACACACACACACACACACCTGTTGTTTCTGTTTCTCTGGAGAACCCTGACTAATATATTGCCCTAGCAAGCTAATACCATATGTTTATTATATCTCAAGAAAGCTGTTAAAAAAAAATCAGAAGGCTACATCCAAAATGTTAACAAGAATTCTTTGGTGGTAGGATTTGGAGTGTTTTAGGTTTATTTTTTGTTTAGCTTATTTGGACTTGCGATTTTTTGTGTGTGACTATGTTATAGAGGCCGCTTTTAGGCAACAGGCTTGACCTATAGAAACTTGAGCAAGGCACAGGGTCCCCCCCAACGACCACCCAGCTGAACGCAAATAGGCTCAGTAAGTGACCTACCTTGAAATAGCCAGAGGCCCTAAGTAACCAAAGGGCTACTTACAACCAGGCACAGTTACCATGGAAGGGAAAATTCCATAGGTTCCTATACTTCCCTCACTCCACCCTTAACTGTGGCCCCTCACCACTGCCCTATCACACACAGTCTCTCCTTAGCTGTCCCACCTGCTGCTCCCTTGTGATGTATTCAGCAAACTTTGATCTTTTTTTGTTCTGCCTTGGGTAAATTCTTTCACTGCCCACGGTGCTTGTCCCCACCCAATCGGAGCCCCCCCCACACATATGTTATCTGTATAGTAATTTGGGGAAAGATTTCCATTGAGAAGAGTGTTTAGAAGCAAGGTTAGATACCACAGAACCCAGAGGACCTCGGGATCTGGTGGACCGCATCAGAATACCACTTACCACGAAGACGGGTGAACGGAAACCAAATTGCATCTGCTACAGTGAGAAAACCTCAGCATACAACAGAGTTCGCTTATAGTACAGCTGCTAAGGTTGCCCCCTGGAACGTGAGTAACAGAGGAATTTCATTTCTCCGACCAACTCTGTGTTTCTGCCATTTTCAGTTATTCTTTCATTCCATCATCTAACAGGCCTTTTCTGAAGACCACCTGTGTCCAAGGGGTACAGGAAATCCCAGAGATTGAAAACAAACAAAACAGACTCATTTTATGCTCTTGTGGAGGAGACACATGGTACAATGTGATGAGAGCTCCCACTGGGTAAGAGAGTTGTTAGTGCCCAAGGGAGGGGCTGCCAGCCCCTGAGAGGTGGGGGCAAGATGAGGCCTTTTAAAGTTAATTAGTATTACTCCATTTCATAGTTGAGTGAATGGAGGCTCAACGGGGTTAAGTAATTTGCCCAAATCTCTCAGGAATAAGAAAGGGGTGTGAATTGCATGTTCTTTCCACTGGGCACAGTTCTGTGACTCTAATGTGTTGTCATGTGGACAAGCAAATAAGTAGAATACATGGGAATATCTGAAGTAAGAACCCAGCTCTATATACTCTGTATCACTTGTCTCAGTCTTAATTACCTCGTCCAACTCTTCCATCAGTTCTCATAAGTGCTACTAATAGTAACAACAATACTTAACATATATTGTTTCCTAGGTGCCAGTGCTTAGCATAGGTCTGCTCAATCAGTCCTCATTACAGCCCAACAAGGCAGGCTGTGGTATAGTCCCTATTTTATAGACAGGGAAACTGAGGCTCCAAGAGTGATGGGATGTTAAGTGACAAAGCTGGGATTTGACCCCAGATTAGATTCCAAGGACAAGTTTTTAACCATTTTGCTGCAGTGCCCAAAACCAGACAACTGACAGCTTAAAAAATCCTTGCCAGTTGCTGAATTTTTTAATTAGAAGAAAATTCTGCAGTGTAATTGATCTTCCAGATCACACAGGAATGATCAAAAATATCCTCTTCACTTTCTGAAGAGGAGCTCCTTAAGGGAGTTTCAGTGATTCTATTTCATCTAGAATATTTTTGTGTGGCTTCATCCATGACTGGTCCACACTGAGGTTCTGGAACTCTGCGTTGCCCTGAGAAACAGACACTGGACTGCTGGGATGTTTGGATTTGGGACCAAGGGGACCCAAACGGACCCTTCTGCAGATTCTTTCCTGGTAGCAGCCTCAGGCGTTCCATTCCATGGAAGCCACCACTTCTCCTGCTCTCTGCTCTCCTCGCTTGAAGGCCTGGACTCTCCACAAAACAAACCAGGCAACATCCACAGTGATGAGTCTCTGGAGAGGATTTATAAGGGATGGGAGAAAGGGCAAGCTGTGTTTCCTTGGACAGTTCTCCCGCGGCTGCCTGTTGACTGGGATGCGGTTTTCCTGACTCAAGATGGGAGTGAGCTCACATGAGAGACAGGCACAGAGGTCCCCGGGACTCCGGGGGTCTGGGGAAGTTGAGGCAGAGTGGAGGAAGGAGAACCAGCCCACAGCCAAGGGTTTGATTGGGAACGAGGCTGAGATATACCCATATAGATCCACTAACCTTCAGTGTAAGGTGAATCTGGTTTAGGACATATGAAAAGATGATTTTCAGAGTGTTGATTGTTTACTGTGAAAGCATTCACTCATTGCTTGTGTGCCAGGGGGCCCGAGAGTTCAGGAATGCAACGGTCTAAGGCTAACTGAGCCAAGCTTCAGGGCTTATGGTGATATGACGTTCAGGGGCAGAGTGGGGATGTGATAAGCCCCTGCTCCAGCAAGCACTCACACAGGCAGAAGCTGTGAAACCTTAGAACCCTGGTCCCTTATGGTGGGGCACAGGTATGTACCTCTTTTGGAGCGGGGAGGATGGGAGAGGCTCTGAGAGTCTTGCCCAACCCCGTGGTTGCTCACATATCTATGGATCATTACGGTGCCATGCCCTCTGCCGGGTGGCAGTCAGGTCAGAAGCTATGTCTTAGTTGGCACTGCATTCTTAACACTTGATGCCTCTGCCACAAGGTGGCCTCCTTGTCCAAGGCAGGCCGAGGACTCGGGAACCTGCAGAAGGATCTACCACAGGCAGGCAGGGAGATGGAAGAGTAGATGGTGCTGGGCCCAGATCTGGCAAGCTGTAGTCTCCTGGGCACAGCACAGGACCCTTTGGGGCTCATCTTGAGCACTGAGAACCGTGATGGCTCTGGGCAGCGGGGGCTCTGCCCACAGAGGGACAGTGAGGGTGTGGCTTCCAGAAAGAGCAAAGTCTCTGAGGGCAGTTCTGGTGGGGTGGGGAGTCATTGTAGCCAGAAAAGGTAAGCACTCAGCACCCAAGGCCTGAGAAAGGA